TTTTTGAGAGAGGGAGACAGAGCATGAGCACAGGAGGGGCAGAAATAGGGAGACACAGAATCTGAAGCAGGCTCCGAGCGGTCAGCACAGAACCCGACGCGGGGCTCGAACTCACAGGCCGCGAGATCATGACCTGAGCCAAAGTTGGCCGCTCAACAGACGGAACCACCCAGGTGCCCCTAATAACATCTTTTAACATGAAAAAATCAAGTATTAAAAATCTAGTAAATATCCAGTCCCTGTATTATCAACCAAAAAAACCATTTTAATAGAAAAATAAAATTTGACACCACTATTTGATAGAATTGTTTTAACATGTCTAAACATTAAGTATGGTTTCTTAAACAGTTGGAAATAATTTCAATGCTATTGTTATTTAACACCTCACAATTTAAGTTGTAAATTGCCTTCATACCTGAGTACATTTTTGAATATTCTGAGTGTAGTAACTTTTTTATTGAGAATACATTTGCTTACTTTGGAAAAAACTCAAAAATCACTGCATGGTCAACTCAAAGAACTTATAAACAGAAATTAATGAAAAAGAAAAAAGTAGTTGAGAATACTGGTAACTGGTCTAATTTGAAACCTTATAGGACTACAGGAAATGTTGTGGTTATTACAGATCCTTGAGATTTTTCAGAAATCATTCTAAATCATAGTTCAAAATAAACCTGAATTAAAAAAAAACACTCACCATATGTTTAATATTCTCAAATTTTATTTTCAGTACAGTCAAGGCAGTACAAAGCTAAATGGGACTAAATTAAGCCAGAAAATTTTCTATTACTCTTTTCACACCATAAACCCAGATTAGACGAATAAAATTGCTGTTACTCATATACAAAGCTAACTTCAAAAATACACCTATAACATACACCTTTCTCCTGTTTTTTAAAAACCCCACATTTATTCTTGCAGGGAAACTTGACATTATACAGTTTTACCTCCACCCAAAACTTGCTGCATTCTTGTAAAACTAGCAGCTAAAAGCAATCAAGTTAACCAATTCAAAATGACCGTGCCCATCTTATTAGCAACACTAGCCAGGTGGAGGAAATCCCATGGTAGTCTGCATATAATCTAGCACTAAGGAATCTCATTCTAAATTAAATAGATCTTATTTCGGAAGATGAAGCTAAGCTCAAGAAAACTTCAAGGGAAATCAAACACTAGGCGGCAGCATCAAGCTGTTGGGACAGCCTGGGCATTCTTCTAACGTCAACTCCAAGCTGAAGTTAGTATATTTTTAATGAGAATTATAGTATAATGAGATGACTTTATAGGGTTATAAAATTTGTTATAAAGGAAAAAGGATAGCTTTCTGTTTTGAATACCTATACTTCTTTCCAGTTTCTACTGGGTAATTTCTCTTGTATCAGTTTAAAATGCACTAGTGACAAAAAAAAAAATGCACTAGTGTTGATGTCCTTTTGATAAAAGCAAAACCCATGGCATTTCCATTGAAGTAGGCACTACAGAGACCAGGAATGACATTTTTATCCAAAATATTTCCTTGGGCTAATACTAAGTTTAAATTTTGTTACATTCAATTAAAATTTTAAACTTGATTAAAGAGGCTGATAAGCAAACTTTGCATTCACTGAATAACGTGTCATGAGCATTATGTGACAGAAAGTTATGGAATATGTGCCCAAGTCAGAAATTTAGTCAGGCAGGGAAAACAAGATGTACACATGTAACTGTAAGTTAAAAAAAAATGTTGAGAGGCAGAAAAAAAAAAACCTATGAATTATTACATAGAAGTAACAACAATAGGATAACTATCCTTGGCAAAGGCCCAGTAGAGACCATTAAATCTCATTCTGGGGGTAACCAAGTTATCAGAATTAAAGACATAAAGCAGTCCTTCAACTAATGCAAAACAAACATTTGTATGTAGAAAAGAAGTTAAAACGAACTAAGTTTTTCTGCAGCTCTTTGTTTCATAATGTCATTTATAAAGGTCACAGTAAACCCATGAGGTAGGTTTTTTTTAGCACAAGTTCATCGATAAAAGATTATGATAAAGCAGCTTGCTGAAGTAACCAAACTAGTTAATAATGGGTCATAGTTTTGAACCGTTAAGTCTCACTCCAAAGCCTTAAATTCTTTCCAATACTGGCTAAAGCTTGAGGGAAGTGAATAGCAAAGTAAATTCTCTTTAATAATAATTTATAATAATTTCCCTTGCTCTAACACCTATATCCTATTCTCCATAAATCAGTTAAAAAAAAACAAACCAAAACACCCTTGGGGCGCCTGGGTGGCTCAGCAGGTTAAGCGTCCGACTTCGGCTCGGGTCATGATCTCGTGGTGAGTTCGAGCCCCGTGTCAGGCTCTGTGCTGACAGCTCAGAGCCTGGAGCCTGCTTCGGATCCTGTGTCTCCCTCTCTCTCTGCCCCTCCCCTGCTCATGCTCTGTCTCTGTCTCAAAAATAAATAAAACATTAAAAAAATTTTAAAAAAAATCCTAGAATAGTACTTGCACACCAAATTTGAAGCCTCCTAAAAGTACTTCAAAATCAGGTGCTCAAAAAGGGGAAGAAACATGTTGGCTTGTAAAGTGTGGAACATAAATTGGCAATGGGAAGAACAATTACAGCTCATCACACGTGTTACTGATTTGACACCTCTTAAGAGAAGCTCTTATTTTAAAGTAGCACCAAAGTCACTCCTGCACAGGAGTGTTAACCAGAAGTCTGTGTATAATATTGTTTTGTGAATCTGGATAAAAAAAATACTGTTCTCATCTCTGAAATTTAGTTATTTCAGTTATGAATGCAGGCAAAACCAGAGTAAAATGCAGTACCTGATAGTTTATCCAAAAAAAAATCATACACATTAAGTCCTTTAAAGACCACTGAGTCCTAGTTTAAAATTAGGCTTTAGACCTGAAACTACTCTTTCTATTTAATGCTCTACTAAAGCATGGATTACTTCATCATATTTAATATTTTGATTATTTCAATATAGTTGGTTTCTGTTGTAATCCTATATATTCCACATTTAAAAAATCATCATTCTGAGGCTAATCGAGCAATTAAAAAACAAAACAAAAAAATCCCTCCAGTATATCGTTTTATTTCCTTCATACCACTTGTCACTGACACTTTATCTCTCTCCCTACTGGAATATTCAGCGAGTATAGGGATGTGAGTGGTCTAGTATGGACCCCCCAAAATCTAGAACAAGTGACTCATACTCAAAATCTGTAGGAAAGTCCCTTAAAAAATAAGTACATAAAGTCTTAAGATTTTCAGTGCATTACAATTAACTACATTCTAAATTTCCATCTTTTCCAGTATATTATTTGTTCTTAATTATGTAAACCTGTCACATGCTAGTTTTGCTCTATGGAGAACGACTCAATTTCAAGGTAAAACCAGAGCACTCAACAGTGTAAAAGGCATTAAAAACAAAACCAAAACCAAAACCGCCCCACCTGTATATATAACGTGCTTTTAAAAAAACTACGTGCTTTATGTCACTCTTTTACAGGGACTTGAGCGAACGACCCTTCCGAGGAGGGCTGCTGCTGTGGCCGATTACTTCTTCCTCGCGCCCAACTCCTAAAAGACAGCCCATGTGGACAGGCTCCCACGTGAACCGGGCTTTACACAAGCCACGGGAAGACTTTCCACATCATCGCCCGCGCCCACGCGGGGCCCCTTCTTAGCTGGGGCGCTCGGCGATCCCAAGGGAAAAGCGAGCCGAGCAGACCCCTAAGCCAGGCGGGGGCCGCGGCGGTTCTGCTACCACTTCCCCAGCCGGGACCACTTCGCTCTCGCCGCAGGGCTTTCGGGAACAAAGCCCGGGCCGCCACGCCGCCTTCGGGCCCACCCGGCCTCCCCCCACCGACTCAGCCTCAGCCCCACCCTAAGGCCTCAGCTCCGGGGACCCCAGCCGGCTTCGATGTTAACTCCCCCGCGTCCCGCCTCGGCTTTTCGGTTGGTGGGGGAGGAAAGCCTCCACGAGGCCTCCCGCGGCAGGAGCAGAGGCGCCACCGTCCGTTAGCCTCCAGCTAACAGCGGCGCCCAGGCTCCATCCCGGGGGCTCCTCGCCCGACCCCACCGGAGGGGAGGACGGGACAGGAAAAATCGAGGCATTCGTCGCCGCCGCAAGTCCCCCTAAGGCCTGACTGCGGATCCTCCCACCCTCCGGCCTTAGGGTCCCCGCCTCCTCTGGCAACGCCATCCTCGGCCCCCGGGCCGCCCGCGCGCAGCCCCCCAACCGCCGCCCGCCCGCCCAGCGGTCACTCCCCCACTCCTCGCGCGAATCCCCGGCCTCAACAGGAGGCTGGGTCGGGCGCGGGGCCCCGCACGCGGAACGAAGGCTGCCCGGCCGCCAACCCCGCGGCAGTCCAGAGCGCACACGAGGAGCCGCGGCGCCCCACGCGCAGCCCACCGCGCGCTCTGCTCCGGCTCGTCGCCGCCGCCGCCGCCGACTGCAGCGCCCGGATCCCCGAGGGACCCAGCCCGGACTCCCCGGTTCTTGTCTCCCTTTCTACCCCCCCGCCGTCCCGGGACTCGCAGTCTCCGACGCGCATGGGGCCGGTTCTGGGGGAGGGAATGTAAACAAATCGGGGTTTTATAGTTACCTCACACTCGAGTGCCGTGTGCATCTCCTCTCCGCTCGGTACCAAACCCCGGCTGCACCAAATCGTGTATTCACCAAAGCCAGCTGCGCTAACTGCGTCGCGGAGGCCCGCGCGTCAGACACCACCCTACGCTACCGGCGTACAAGGCCCACTCAGGTCCCTGCGCAGCCGCACCCCGTCCGCCTATGGGTGCTACGCTCTGGGCGTACACGCACCACCCAGCCATTCACTTCGGACAACGCAACTTGCGGAGGGGAACTGCACCACTCTCGGGATTCCACACGGGCAGAGCGAGCAGTAGGAAATTCGAGTCTACGCAAACTGCGGAGCCCCGTGGCTCCGCGGTAGTTTTGTTCCAAGAAAGGACGCTGCGGGGGAGTTGGGGCGGCTTCTAACGCATGCGTGGAGCGCCCTTTACCTCTCGCTTTTTATCCCGGTTTTGCATGTCGGTTGCTGCAGCCCTGGGGAGGCGGATGAGTAATGGAAACTAAGCGCAAACGCTTTAGCCAAAAGGTTTCAGATCGATAAATTAAGATGTTTATCTGTACGTGAGTTAAACATCTACACTAACTTAACTCCTCCCCTTTGTTAAAATAACCTTTCGGTCTCTTAGGGCAAAAGGGACCTCGTATTTAGCGCTAAGCGCAAGACCTTTTGCATAGTTCACTCTCCACCCCACAATTTATTCTCAAGCGCACTTCCTGCAGGCCTTTCAAACCTCAAAGAAAAAGTTGAGTTCAGAGAGCATGTCCAACACTTACAGTAATTATTGAGACTTTGGCAACTTTCCAAGCTTTTCCACCACTTCCTACTACCTAATTCACTGATTATTTCTTAACACCCAACGGCAAAAACCCCTGATCCAGCCAAGCAATTCCACGGACTCCTGCCTACCTCGTGCTCATTCTTCCTCCCATTCCTTTGCTCACAGCATACCTGCCACCTGAATTGTCTCCTCCCCTTTTCTTAAGCAATTCATAACCCATATTTTCCTGAAAGGTGGCTTTGGACACCTTCTCTTTGCTTTATTACTCTGCTTCCTACAGTTACTTAATCTTCATGGTGAGGCTTATCTGTATTCTGTCTGGTGTGCCTGTTTCTGCATCCAGTCAGATCTGTTTAATAGGATGAGTTCTGGGGGTGCTTTACTGATGTCTAGCAGAGTGCATAAAACCGTGATCAATAGTAATAGCAAGTCTTACGATGGATCAGTTACTAAGGGCTTTACATATATATTTCATGCTCATAACATAGTGAGGTAGATATTATTATCCCACCCCAGGAAACTGAGGCACAGGAAGCTAAGTGACTTGCTTAAGATCACAGACAGGAGAATTGGAATTGAAACCCAGTTAGTATGGCTACATGTCTTCCTATTCTGCATATTTACCTCTGTGAAGCAAGGTTTTGTTTTTGTTTTGTATCTCTGCAAAGAAGATCTTTTGGGTGCTTAATAAACACCTACTGACTGCCAAGGTACTAAGTTTCTTATATCCCTTTTTTCTTGTCTAGTGGGGAAAGCCCCACTAGTGCCAGTTTCACAGACAGGAGAAGTCCTGAGATGTAGGGAAGAGATTAAGTCTGAGTCCTTGCTTCAAGTCTTACCATAGTCACTAGCTGGGAGAAAATGACCATTTTCCTCAGATTCATGGTTAAGAAAATTGGTCTAAATTTAGTCTGAAGTCCTTAGATCTCATATTATCAGAAGTAAAGTCCTTAGATTTCATAAAAGCAGTATAGTACATCTTTTAGGTCGAGAACACTAAAAGCTTCCCAATTACCCTTATGTTTTAAGACTCATAATTATTTTATTGACCACATTACTATGAGCACTTTTACAATATATGTAATGTCTTTCTTCTAAATATCAATAAAATACAGTACTTACATTCCTTATATTTTAGGGTACCCACGCTGCTTTCTAGTTATATAAGGCTACTGTTCAGCTGGTTCACACAAGTGCAGCTGAACTGACTCATCATGTATTCAGATACCTCCATACAAGTTGTTCAACAGCCACAGCTCTGAGTCCAGTTCCCCCATGGCCTGTACCTGTACCAGCCCTTTCTCCCAGGACTCTCCAGACCTCCCACATTTCAGGAATGAAAGGGTTAAGACCTGGCTAAGCAGGAAACCTACAGGACAGCCTGTTAGCAAAGACTTCCATTCTAATTGGTTCCGTGACTAATTGTTACGTATTATAAATATACCTGCATAAAACTGTAGGATAAACCTACTTGAAAATAGACGATGGCTACTCCCACTTCTATACACTTACCCAAACATTCATATATGACCAAGTATACCCATTCTGAGTAGGGCAGGGCTTAGAGTAAAATTACTACCTGCAGTAAATGAGCTGCAAACTAGTATATTACTTTTCCTACTGGGAAAAGGAATCTCAGCAAATGAGTTGAAGGCCTACTCCAAAATCACCCGCTGAGTTAACCAACGGAGAATGCTACAAAAATATCACTATAATGTAGGTTTTATTTCTGTCCATTTTATATACAAGGAATGTGTCAGGGTAAGAGATTCCTGATATTTTAGAATCAGAACTTTCTAAAAAGGTTACTTTTTTCTATCTACCTCATTTGATTCATTAAGAAGCTCACCTGAACTATAAAAACCGTGTAGATGATTTGCAAAAGCCTGGGGAGGAAGAGAGAGTACCGAATTACGAATTACGTGTAAATGGTTTACCTCTCATTTGTTTTGCTTATTCACACTGCTGCAAGCACAATTTCATTTCATCTAAAATTTTAAGCATGACCAACCTACCTTTGTGAGGCATGATGTAATAAATCCGATGGCACTTTTTGCCCCTCAGAGGATTAGAAAAGAACCAGCTAGCTATAAGGTGCCTGGGTGGCTCCATCAATTAAGCTTCTGACTCCTGACTTGGGCTCGGCTCATGATCTCATGGTTTGTAGTTTGATCCCCGCATCGGGCTCAACCTGGCAGCTTGGAGCCTACTTGTGATTCTCTCTCTCTCTCTCTCTCTCTCTCTCTCTCTCTCTCTCTCTCTCTGCCTCTCCCTGACTAGTCCTGTCTCTCAAAATATGTGAAAAAAGAAAAAAGAAAGAGCTGCAATAAAGAGAGAAAATAAGAACCACACATCATACCTCCATCTTTAGTTGTGACTAAAGGAAGTTTGTGACATAAACTTGGTTTCCCTCTAGTAAAGGGGAAAACAGTGACTATCAACAACAAAGTTAAGAACTTGTAATTAAATGTGTAAAGAACATAACCAGTTCTAAGACATCAGACCTTTCAAACAATCGTTCTCTCCATGAATTTAGTAATAACCAAAGATAAAGAAAACTACTTATATTCATGTTCAGTTTAAACTCTCAATTTTCACATGTCCAAACAAGTTTGGTTCAGACAGGCTTATGCCTTGAGGAAAGAGAACCTGGAAGACTAAATTATACAGATGTACAGCCCTCGGGTAGGTGGTACAAAGTACCAGAAACAAGTGTTCACGAATGAAAAAGAAGTAATCAGGACTATGTTCTAAACCTAGGCCTCAAAATTAACAACTGTCTACTCACGTTTGGAGACTATGTTTTTCAGCTTGGAGATAGAGGCCCTTGCTCCAGATCCGAAGCCAGAGAAATGTAAAGGGCATGCCCCTTTTTGTTCCTTAAGACCTAAGGCACTCTGTGACATCTAACATGTCAAACCCAGGGTCAGGATGGGAAGTGGAATCTGTGGGGCAGTCTTTTCCTGATCCCCTGAGAAATTATGTCTCTGACATCTCATCTAAAGACTCGCCATTCCTGGGGCACCTGGGTGGCTCAGTCTGTTAAGCAACCAACTCTTGATACTGGCTCAGGTCATGATCTCACGGTTCGTAGGTTCGAGGCCTGCACCAGGCTCTGCGCTGACAGTGCAGAGCCTGCTTAGGATTCTCTCTCCCTTTCACTCTGCCCCTCCCTCCCTCTCTCTCTCTCTCTCTCCCTCTCTCTCAAAAATAAACATTAAAAAAAAAAAGACTCTCCACTCCCCAAATTAAGATAGACTGTGAGAATCTGCAGGGAAGTGCTCATTGTAGGAGCATAGCTATCCTTGTAGCCATTTCTAATGAGCAACACTCATGTAACTGACACGACCATCCTCTTCCACAGAGCCCATCACTTTGAGGAGGGTACACAAAGGGAAAAAGGAACCAGTCCCACCCCGATGAGCAAGATTTGACTGATGTCCCTGTCAGGTGAGACCATTTTAAGTTGGTAGGCTTATCCAATAAAATGAGTTTCAGGTGACCTGCACAAACGAAACTAGATTGGAGAAATGAAACAGCTGAAACAACACCCCTCCCCCAGTAGAAAAGTCAGTTTTTATATCATTTCCCTAGAGGATGCTATCATTAGCCGAGTTAGATCCTTCAGTTTCAGTTCATTGCAATACAAACAAAAGGCCTTTAGTATTAGACAGGAAGAAAGACAATAAGGAAGAGGCTTAAAGCTTCTGATTTGCCATGGCAAGTGCTTTCGAAAATAGGAATGAGACCTAGCCTAGGAGAAATAGGAAGAACCACTAGGAAGAATGAATGAAAGGAAGAAGATCGCAGCTGGAACCAGGGTACCAGGCACATCACACATTTGCGCACATGGTACCAGGAAGACTTCTTGTCCCAGACCTAGTCTATTGTGCTCACCGATCCCTGGGATTCCACATTTAGAACTTTATTCCTGGGTCTTGAAACCAAAGGGACTTTGACCCTGAAGGAAGTTACCGCTGTTTTATTGTTTATACTGCCGTGAGGGTGTATTTTTTTCCTATCTTCTCTGAAGAGGAAGTTTTAAGAGAGAGGAAACATGATCATCTGGTTTCCCAAGGGTAATGTGGTACAAAAGGACAAAAGGAAAACTAGACAAATTCCCATCTTCTTAATCTTGCTCCTAGCCAGTCTTGTTCACTCAGAAAATCCTAAAATGAAGGAAAACAGTAGGTTTGGTAAGTTTGTACCAAGCTTGGGGGCCTAGATGCCAAGAGGCAGCCGTTTTGGATCCTTTAGAACTCTGAAAGCACAGCAAAAAATCAACTTTCCAAATCTTCACTCCCAGTCCAAAGGAATAAAAAGAGCAACATAAATAATCCACATGAATATTGCAAATTTGAAGAGGATTTGGCGATGGTTACGCTTTAAGGAAAATTATCAACATGGAACTGAATTAGCAGTAAGTTACCATGCAAATATTTTTTAAAGCAGGTTCATTTGTTTAACTGGTTAAACTTAATAAACTCATTTTTAAAGTTCATTTAAAATGTCATCACAAGAGAGCATGTTTCCAATCTTGCCTAGATATTCCAAGACAATTAATAATGAGACCCATTTCACACCTGACGTTTATGAAACCAATCAAATACATCTTTTAAAATCAAGATAATTTGGTTTAGCTTAACAAATATTGCTTATCTTCATTTATTAAGTTTGACAGCAGGAATGCAACTAAATTCTAAACATTAGGGAAGACAATAAATGAATTGTCAAAACAAGAGTCGCTTGTAGGGATTTCCGGATTTTCCCTGCACTATTTCTAAGTACAGCTCAAATTACGTTTTTTCTAGAATAAGTCACTTTTGCACTTTTCACAGAATCCCGTACACCACCTCTTGTTACCATTTCACATCTGTAGGGCAGTTCTAGGTATTCCCTACTGTTTTTTGAGGGATGGTTCTGGCAGTGCCCAATAATTAAGAACCCACTATGCTTGGCTTGCTTCCTTACAGGTGATCTCACCTACAGCTTCCAAGGATATCCTCACACTCAGGTTTCATTCCAATTACAGCGACAGTTGCTTTCTCTAGGGAATTAGTTTTCAGTGTCTTTCTTCCCACCCTAAATACATGAAGATGTATAATTTAAAATGTGTTGGTTAATTAGATATGATGACTTCTTTTAACCCTGTATAGCCCTGCAAGGTAAATATGATGATGCCCATTTCACAGATGAAGAAATCAAGGTGGTTACAGAGCATGTGGCAGACCCAGGACTCCAGTGCAAACAGTGTGGCTCCGGAGGCTATGCTCTTAGCCCTTACATTACCTTGCCTCTTATTTTTGTGAGGTTATCTATATTAGTTTCTCTGCAAAAGTTGGTAATTTAAAAAAAAATCTGTAGAACCTTAAACTGGTGGCTTTTCAGTCTATAAATGTGGCAGGTCAATGGAAATTTTAAATGGAATAAAGCATAGAATAAAAACGTTTCAAGATACTCATAATGTGAACATTTGTTCTTTTCTGCTTTATCTTTCAGCTTGACTAGCTTGAATCAATTCCAAGGGAGATGTTTATTCCACAGTCTCTTAAATTAGAAAGTTAATTAGCCAATCTGGTTATACATTTAGTTGAAAAGCTTTCCCCTCTTTATGGTGATTTGATGTAGTTGTTCAAGTATTTATTTATACCAGTACAGTTATATTAAAAATTAAGCAGAATCAAGTGTATGTTAACAATTTTGATTAGTCATGGAAAAGTGAGCTATGAACTTGCTCATCAATGAAGAATTGGTCAGGTGCAGGCAAACATATCCCAGCAGATTTAAAGTGAAATTCACTTAGGGGATTAAACACTCACTCCAGTCCTTAGATGAATCTCTATCCTCTGCAAGTCTCCCTTGGAGACTTGGAAAAAAGAGGTAAGTGTTAATTAAGGGTTGGAAATATCTTCAAGCAAAAGTCTGTGCTCCTTTTATGTTGCAAGCCACTCTGTCAAGTAGCTGGGAAATGAGGGCAAACAAAATAGAATTCTTGCCCTTCAGAAGCTTACAATCCAGTCAAGGAGATAACGAAGGAGGCAATTTCAGTACAGTATGGAAAGTGCTCTGTTGGAGATAGGTATGGGTTGCCGTGGCAACAAAAGCAAAAATGCCTTCAGAAAGGAAGTGACATCCAAGGTCTGACCTAAGGATTAGTAGGAAACAGCCAAGTAATGAAACAGAGGACAGAGAAATGCAAGCAGAAGAATGAAATGAGTCATAGTGTGGTTCTCAACCGGGGAACTGAAACCCGTGGTGTTGATGTGTGTTTTTGACATGGGGTGTTGGAAGAGATGAGACACGGCCAGTAAGCAGGGTTTTTGTGTACCATACAGAAGAGTCTGAATGCTACCCCGAAGGCATTAAGAGCTGCTGAAGAATTTTAAACCAGCAAGTGCCACGATCACAGGTAAGAAGGAAGTAGCAAGTATGATGTGTTTGATAGGCAGACTATGCCTCCCCCCACCCCTGCAAATGATATCCATATTCTAATCTCTGCAACCTGTGAATATGTTAGTTTTCATAGCAAAGTAAAGTAGAGATTGGGGATAGAATTAGGTTGCTAATTAGCTGACCTTGAGATGGGGAGATGATCACAAATTAGCCAGGCAGGCTCAATTTAATCACACGAGTAGATGGAGACAGGTAAGTCAGAGGGCCATGTGACTGTGCAAGCATGGTCAGAGTGATGCAATGTTGCTAGAGAAAGAAAGTCACAAGCTGAGGATTATGGGTGGCCTCTAGAAGCTGGAAAAGGCAGGGAAATGGGTCTCTCCAGAAGGAACGTGGCCCAGCGAGACCCATGTCAGACCTCTGACCTACAAACTGTAAAACAATAAATTTGTACTGTCCTAAGCCGCCAAGTTGGAAGTAACATGTCACAGCAGAAATAGAAAACTAATGTATTAGGAAGCTGTTATAGCAATAATCCATGTGTGAAGTAATCATGGATAAAGAAATCTTGCTGATTTGATAAGCATCGAAGAGATAGAATCAAACTGGAACCCCAACTCCATTAACTTGCTAGCTGTGGCCGTGAAAGGCCCTTCTTAAACCTGATCATTCAGCTTCATTTTCAATACCTAAAAATTGAGCAGTATTTTGCAGGGTTTTGTTTGTTTTTACTATTTTTTTAAAGTAATACGTTAACATTAGCTTTAAATTTCAAATAGGAAGAGATACATGCTACAATATGAATGAATCATGAAAACATTATGCTATGTGAAGTAGGTCAGACACAAAACCAAATATTTTATGATTCCACTGATATGAGACGCCTAGAACAGACGCAATTCATAGACACAGAAAGTACTAGAACAGAGGTCACCACGTACTGGGGTGGGGGGATGGGGTGAGGAAGAGAAGAGGGAGTTCATGTTTAATGGTTACAGTGTCTACCTGGGATGATGAAACAATTTTGGAAACGGATTGTGATGCTGGCTGCACAACACTGTGAATGTCCTTGACGCGATGTACTTAAGAATGGTTAAAATGGCAAATTCTATGTATATTTTACCACAACAAAAACAAATATAATGATTAAATCCATGCCATTTTATTTTACCTTAGATGCTAAGAAAACCTAATTTCTAGATGCAAGAAAAGAGTGGAATTGTTTAATGGATTCAGCTTCATTTACTCTTTGAGTATTAGAATGGCTCAAATGATACATTTTGTTACCTATGTTTAACCACAATTAAAAAAAAATTAATGTAGGGGCGCCTGGGTGGCTCAGTCAGTTAAGCGTCCGACTTCGGCTCAGGGCACGATCTCACAATCTGTGGGTTCGAGCGCCGCATCAGGCTTTGTGCTGACAGCTCGGAGCCTGGAGCCTGCTTGGGATTCTGTGTCTCCCTCTCTCTGCCCCTCCCCTGCTCACCTTCTGTCTCCCTCTGTCTCAAAATAAATAAAAAGCATTTTATTTAAAAATTTTTTTCAACGTTTATTTATTTTTTGGGGGACAGAGAGAGACAGAGCATGAACGGCGGAGGGGCAGAGAGAGAGGGGGAGACACAGAATCGGAAACAGGCTCCAGGCTCTGAGCCATCAGCCCAGAGCCCGACGCGGGGCTCGAACTCACGGACCGCGAGATCGTGACCTGGATGAAGTCGGACGCTTAACCGACTGTGCCACCCAGGCGCCCCAATAAAAAGCATTTTAAAAAATTAAAAAAAAAATTAATGTAGAATACAAACAGCAGTGTATTCTACTTCCCAGGAAAAAGCCCTCCATTATCTGAGTTTTTTTCTAGGGATTTACCTCCATATTTTACAATAATATGCTTATCCTGCCATTTCATCAATTTGAGGCATCTGCTATTGACTTTCTTTTTTTTTTTTTTTTAAATTTTTTTTTCAACATTTATTTATTTTTGGGACAGAGAGAGACGGAGCATGAATGGGGGAGGGGCAGAGAGAGAGGGAGACACAGAATCCGAAACAGGCTCCAGGCTCTGAGCCGTCAGCCCAGAGCCCGATGCGGGGCTCGAACTCACGGACCGCAAGATCGTGACCTGGCTGAAGTCGGACGCTTAACCGACTGCGCCACCCAGGCGCCCCTGCTATTGACTTTCAATAAGGAAGTATTTAACTCTCTTAAATATGCACACTCATAATCTGGGAGATCAGAGTCTGCTCCTTACATAGATTTTCAAACACCCTCTGGTTTCCAGGCTTACCATTCACTTCCTTTTTCATAAGGGCCCAGTGCTTGCAATTCAAGTGTTTCTGGCATGCTAGAGCCAACAGGCATCCTTCGTCCTACCATTCCCATCCCCAAGGGCTAAATTGTCTAAGGAAATAGTTCACTATTTCCTTTCTATCTTTCAAACTGTTTATTGCTCTTGCCCATTTCCTTCTCTGTCTTTACAGCTGTATCTTTGTTATTTCTTTTTTTGTGTGTGACTTTTAGTTGAGGAGGAAAAGATAATGTTATGTTCCATCTGCCATATTCAACCCAAAGTGCTCCGGAGTTGCTTTTTAAGATTAAATGAACTAACACAGGTAATGAGATAATATACGCAAAATGCTTTGCAATGTCCTTGACATCTAATAAGGTATAACCGAAGCAACAGTATGGTCCCTATCACCATTATCATCAATGACCTAACAAAAGGTTGTTAGGATGGACGACAGTAGAATGTCAAAAAATACTGCTTACAACAGAGTATCACTGTTGGTTGTCCAGCATTAATGGCATCTGATTGGAAATTTGTTTTTCTTAAAAAAAAAAGAAAGTAATTTTCACAATGTGTTTATAAAGTAGAATGTTCTACAGCTAAAAAGGATAATCTGGATTACTTGAAACTCTGTCATCCTTTAGATTTCACGTTCTCAAAGAAAGCTTCTTTATCTCAAGAACCCTCTTCCCTGTACTAACTTACCATGATTCTCTCATTACATACTATTCCTTTCCTTAATAGTTCTAATCAATTTTAAAATGACTCTCTCCCTTCTCCCCATTGCTCCCCCCTTTCTCTGTGTGTCTTTAACTGTGTTTTGTCCCTAACCAGACTTAACTCAAGACAAAGGGCCATGGGAGTTGTCATTAACAAAAAAGTCCACTCAAGTCCCAACATAGTGCCTTGAATGACTCTGTTCTGAATGAGTGGACTGCCAGGTGTAGCATAATAGAGGACACATAATGAGATGCTATGTTTGGAGAAAGAAACACATTGAAGTTGTTTGTAAACTACATTAATAGTGGTGGCATTTGGGGAAGGTTATCAGCATTTTTTAATTCCTCTATCCTAATACTGTTACTACCACTACTAATGAACAGCTATTGAATATTTACTGGGTGTCAGAACTTACCTAAGTGTTTTACATACATTTTCTAATTTAATCCTCAAAACAACCCTATGTACTCTCATTATACCCATTTTACTGATAAGAAAATAGCTGCAGAGAAGGTCTATAACTTGCCCAGCTGGGGACTTGCTAAAGTTCAAACCCACAGTCCAAGCTGAAAGCCCCTTGATCTTAAACCACTAAACTATCACACTATTACGTGTGTGTGTGTTGCATGTGTGAAACAGAAAGAGAGAGAAGAAAATGTACTTGCTAAAGTCTCAAATCCTGTGGTAATAAACTAAGGGCCAAATTGTTTTTGCCAACAAAAATATTTTTCTGATGCTGTAAAGATAGCAGTAGCTGAATTACTAGAATGGCACTGCCAGTCTTATTCAAGTCCAAGACCAAATCCCATCCATTCACACTTCCCTAGCTCTCTCAAGGCCCAAGTAAACGGAGGCTTCTACACTGGGCATACTAAAGCCACGTGTTCTCCAGTTCTAACTTGTGTGGGAGCTATGTCCTGAGAGACCCAGAATAGGGTCTTTCTAAAGAAAGCCTTCTATCCTCTAAGGGTGGAGAGTCCACAACATTATAAATATGTTTATGATGAATTGTGTGTATCCCTGTGTGACTATTACTCTTTACTTGAACTCTCTAGAATTTGC